TTACGTTGCTTGAAGCCAAATAGATCACAATTCTTATTCATCAACCTATTATTGAATGGCTTGCCATTATTCGTTATTACGTAACAGGAATGCCAAAGCGATAGATTATGTTTACTCGGATGAAACTTGCAACATTTTCCTTCTTTACCTCCTTAAAAACAATAGCTTCATCCCATTTTGAGAAGTAGTTAGTTGCAACCAAGATGTATAGGTGCCCATTAGAGGACTTTAGCAGTGGTCCAATAACATCCAATTCTCAAGCGTCAAATGGCTAGGATGCAACACTTCAGGAGACTGATGAATAAAATTTGCATGGAATTGGCAAGCCTTGCATATTTGAGCGTAGTTCAAGCAATCTTTTACCATTGTCGGCCAATAATATCCCATCCTGTTTATATGGAAGTAGAACTTTGGTCCAGACTGATATGATCCACATACCCCAGAATGCGCTTCTTGCAAAGCTTGGAGTGCTTCATCTTCCCCTAAACATCGCAATAGTACTCCCTCAAATGATTTTCTATATAGGGCATCTTTGTAGTAAAGGAAGTGAGGTGCATGTCGGCGGATTTCAGTCTTTCTCCTCGAATTTTCTAGAAGTATCCCGTAGCTAACCTAATCGATAATGGGTTGTCGCCATTCTTCCTTCTCAGATTCAGAAACAGCGACAAGATGATCGAGTTTATTTTTTTCATTTTCACCCTTATTTAGTAGAGGTACTACCCATTTTTGGGAGATAGTAACTTGCGCTTGATCAGGCAGGGTTAACGTGAAGCTAAGGCAGCTAAAACATCAACCTTCTTGTTTTCTTTCCTAGGTACATGTTGAATAGTTACATTACTGACCCACCCCAACCGCCTCATTTCAACAGCCATTTCAAGCCCAAGTATTAATGCTTGATATTCAACAACATTGTTGGAGCAGAGTTGTGTCAACGTAAATGAGTAAGGCAGAACCTCACCTTGAGGAGTGACAAATAGTACGCCAGCACCGACTCCTCCGCAATGTGAAGCACCATCAAAGTACATCTTCCATAGAGGTTGTACTTCAACGACCATTGAGTCTTCATCAGGTAATTCACCAGTTAGTTCTCAGTCATCAGGTATCGGATGATCAACCAAGAAGTCTGCCAATGCTTGTCCTTTTATAGCCTTTTGAGGGACGTACACAATCTCAAATTGTTGAAATTGGAGGTACCATCTCTTTAGTCGATTAGTAAGAACAAATTTCGACATCACGAACTTGATGGGATTTGCTTTAGAAACAAGAAGAATAACATGAGCTTGAAAGTAGTGCTTCAACTTTTGAATTGAGAAGACTAACACCAAATACAACTTTTCAATTGGTGATTAATTCAGCTAGTTTGGTGTTATCATCATGCTCAAGTAGTAAGGAGAGTTTTCTTTACCCTCACTATTTTCTTGGGTCAATAGTGCTCCAACAGACCTTTCTTGTGCTAAAATATATAGTATCAACGGCTTTCCATGTATAGGGGCTACCAAAACTGGAGACTTCATCAAGTAAGTTTTGATATTTTTAAAGGCATTGTTGCAAGATTGGTTCCACTTGAAAGGAACGCCTTTCTTCATGAGGCGACTGAATGGTTGACACCTCCCAGATATAGGTTTGAGACGAATCTCTTAAGGTATGCTAGCATTCTTTGCAGACTTTTCAATTCATGAATATCGCGAGGCTCAGTCATTTTCAAAATGGTATCCACTTTGGCTTGATCAATTTCGATCCCTCGATGTCGGACAATGAAACCAAGGAACTTTCTAGAAGTAACTCCAAATGCGTATGTCAATGGATTCATCCTAAGTTGGTACCTCCGAGGCAAATCAAATACCATTCTGGAACAGGAAGCATGAATTCATCTTTGGGACAAGCATTGTTGAGATCCCTAAAGTCAACGCACACCCGAATCTGGCCATTCTTCTTCCTTATAGGGACAATACTTGAGAACCGTGTTGGGTATTTAACTTCACGAATAAAGCCAGCTTTAATGAGTTTGTTAAATTCACTTTTAACCAAGGGAACCAAGTCCAGCCTAAAGCGCATTTGACTGCTACTTTAGGGTCCAAGCCAGGCATCTCTTTGTAACTCCAAGTAAAGACATCCTTAAAATCCTTAAGTAACTACATATAAGTTCTTTCTTCATCGGTTGCTAGTAAAGCACTTAGATAAGTGGTCCTCGGTTCTTCATCAATGTCAAGGTTTACTTCTTTCAAAGCGTCCACTGTTGGCTTTACCCCTTCTTCAAGTTCAGGCGGAGCATCCTTTGCATACTCATCTTCTTGAGGGTCCCCATCATTGAAGGATATGTGATAACACGGTGAAATGTTCTTGAATTTCTCGTCATCCTCCATTAGAGATAAAATACCATGCTCGCTTTGTGCAGTAACTTGATGCGAAGAACCCACACTTTCTTTGTCTTCGTTACATTCCCTGGTATAGACCACATCATATGGATTTACCTTCAGTATTTCTCTACATGAAACCACAAGTTTTGTTTGTCACGTCATTCTAGAAGGAACTAGACTTTGGAAATCCTGAGAGATCTTTTGAATTTTGGGCGAAGCGGGTGTTCTGGTATTTTGATAATTTTTCTAGAACTTGTTCCCCTTCTTTAATGGACCCAATCTCTCAAATAGGAAAGTCCTCACTGTTGATTTTCCAAGTCGATTAAAGACAGAAGGCTTGTTAGAAGCGGCAAATTCATCTTCCACAGTGATATAGCTGTTGCTCGCCCTTCTTATGGAAATGCGCACTGGTGACAATTGCTTGTTCCCAAACCTTCACATGGTTGTCTCGTAGCAGATTATGATGGGAGCTTCCCTAATTTTGATGGCTCATTGAGATTATATCCAGCTTTTGCAAATAACATGTACGCATAAGGATCAAAGACTTCATATGTATAATTTGCAAGGAGTGCCACATTCTGCAAATTATTTTGGGCCACAAACCCTGCAAGCGGCATTGTGGATAACTTTACTGCCTCAATTCGTTTGACCGGAAAAGTTAACCCATTTTCATGTTAGTTTGGAGATTAGATGATTCACTTTCATCTTTCTTTTTTTAGGGACATATTGGAAGTGTAGGAGTTACTTTCTTACCATAATACGCAATAACCCCTCTATAAGATTTATTCGAGTAAGATTGTACCTCCTCAGTAACAGCTTTGGCTTTACCAGCAGTCACCTCAGCTCTTTTAGTTGTGGACTCGCCATTCTTGCTTTTCATGACATCATCAGCTTTTAGCTTCTTCAAAATGTGGTTCTTCAAGTAGAACTATGCATCGGCAAAGTGTGACTCAGCCTCGGTGAATAGCTCGTCATCAGTAACTATCTTCTTCTCGACTTCACCCTTGTAGTATTTCAAACATTGATGGTACGTAGATAGAACCACTTTATTCTTATATATCCAAGGCCTTCCAAGTAAGACATTGTATGGAGTCTTTGCATCGATCACATGCAGTCATGCACTTGATTGCATAACTTTAATGGTGATTCCCAACCTGATCGCACATATGGCTCTTTGCCCCCTTTGTTGAATCCTTGGATCATGACACGACTTTCCGAGAGTTCGTTCACGGGAATACCAAGTTTTTTCACAGTGCGAATTGACAAGATGTTCACTGAGGATCCTCCATCAACCAAAATTCAATTTATCCTTTCATCACGCATCTAGCCAACTAGGTACAACAGATGGTTATGAAGAGTGTCACCTAGTAGAAGATCGTCATTTGTGAACGTCAATTTTTCCTCGCACGCGTTAACTTCTTGAGAAATAGACTCGATGAGCTTTTTTGAAGATGGTGCTAACGGTAGGTCATCACTCTTTTCTTGGTGGTTGAAAAGTTGAGATGAGAGATAGAGATTGTCTCACTGGGCGTTGCCATAATTTATAGACAATAAATTATGTCGAGAAAATAAAATCAAGACCGAAAAATATTGCAACAATCGTAGTATTTTATTTCAAATATTTGAATGTTACAATCTCTATGAATCACCTAATTCTTCTTTCCAATAGTAAATAAATTCGAGGGCCTTTGAGCTTGAGCTTGATTTGTTCTTCGTTCTTGAGCTTGAACTTGATTTGTTCTTCGTTTTGAGCTTGAACTTGAACTTGATTGCTTGAAGCTTGAAACTTGTGGAGGAATTTGCAGCGTTTGATCCACGAGCTCTTTCTTGCTTCTTGTTATAATTTTTTGGTCCCTTTTCTAGGTTATGAAAACCCCTATTTATAGTTGTGGAAGGGAAGAATTATGATAGGAACAAACTCTTTCTGACCAATCAAATTGAAGTGTAACATGGCCGCATTTGATTGGCCAGAACATGTCACTTGCACACGTAGCGCGGTTTCATTGGCCTTTTGATTTGGCTTGGCATGCCTTGTCATTTTGACACGTGGCACAATCCTATTGGCTCTTTTGTTTGACTTGGCGTGCCACGTCATTTGACACGTGGCACCAAACTGGGCCTCTAGGAAGATGACATCTTGGGACTAATGAAGTGGGCTCGTCACTTGGCCCAACTAAATGGACTAGCCCAATAGATTAAGACTTAATTATTTAATCTATATATATTGGATTTATATAATTAATTCAATTATATTAGCCCATAATATTTATTTGGACCAATATATCTTGAATTTAAAATATAGTCCAAATTATATTGTGGATTTAATTTTAATAAAATTTATATGCCTACAAGTGCATTTTAAAGAAACTTAGTGGGCGTTTGGACATAATAATTGTAAGTTTTGGAAAAAAAAATAGTATTCGGAATTAAGCTGAAAAATAATATTTGGAATTTAAAATTATGTTTGGACATGCATTTCACTTGAAAAAGTGTTGAAGTTTTGTGAGTGAAAAAAAGGTTTTTCTGAATTTTTTTAAAAAGTGGTTAATTTTAATTTTAAAATACTTATAAAATTTAATGGACAAACATATTATTAAAGAAAAAAACTCATGAACAAACGGATCCTTGTATTCTCCAAAATACGAAGGCACACGTCTTTATATATTTTTGGACTGTCAAAATATCAGCCAAAAGAAAGGTAGAGAGTACAGTAAATGTGAAAAAGCTAAAAGTAGGATCATCTGACACCCGTGCCAGTTGCCACCGACACCCCTTACCTTCCATTTTCCTAAATTCACACTCCAAACACAAAACCCCCCAACTCTTCAATCCATTTGACAGAAAAAATGGCGATTTCAGACAAAGTAACAGGGAATTTAACAACGTTGTACCTAGCAATGATAGGTGCAATGAAGGCCTACGCGTTAATGACTGGTCGAAACTTCAGTGGTTGTTTCGTGCTGATTTTTTCGACAGCTGCAGTTGTTGTGGCCTTGATTGCAAGTCTAACGTGGGATATATCTCTCAAGGCAAGAAATGCTATGACTCGTGATGATCATCCTCAGGTTTATCAACATGGTCATGAATTTTGTCGAGGTGGCATCTGCTGGCACGGCGTCGCCGTCAGTTCCCCGGCGTCTCAAGTCCGTTTCCAGCTTCCTCAGAACCGTATCTAAAACAAATTCAGCATTTAATTAAACGATGTGAGTTTTGAATTGAAAATGTCCGTTCTGAAATATCTATTGAATACATAGTATTATATACATAAAATGGGGCAATTATTGTAGTGAATCGGCCAATGCTCATATACAGAGTATAATGTAAATTTGCAGAGTGGTGAAAAGATGTTAGTACTATATATAGCAGTAGTACTTACTTTTTGCTTTTCCTCATGAATATAGCAGTAGTAGTTCACCGAAAAGAAGTAGTAATGTGTTTTCTTGAGTTGTTTATTAGCCATGGAATTTCATCTACTCAAAAACGAAAAATGGAAAAAGTCACCAGCAAGAGAAATTGTCGTGGTTAAATATTACATTGGATATCAACAACAATTCTAGCGAAGAATTAAGGATGTAATATGCGAAGTTTGCAAGCTAAGTGGATGAACTCTAGCGCTTTCTTTTTTTTGGTTGGGTTTACCCACGCTGATATCTGAATTGGAGCTTGATTATATTCGAACTCGCACTGCATAAGCCCATTTTAGGGGGAAGCGCTTCATAACATAATTTATTCCATACCCAGAGTTCTAACTCGAGGCCTCTGATTAAGGATTGGAGGGATCCTATTCATCCTACCGCAACCCATGTTGGTGGATGACTCTACTCTTGACTTGTGCAAAACCATAATTGATATCAATTAGTATCATTACATAATTATATAGTCATAATTACACCGAATGTTTACACTGAGATGGAGGAATTTAACCAACCTTCATACTTAAAAATTAAAATGAGAATACAAATTTATTGATGTGAAATGTTCTGCTTATCATTGGTATATAGCTTAAAAGAAGCAAGCGCTACGTTTAAGGCTGAATCTAGGCTTCAATAACCTTAGATTGGGGAGAAATTCAAAAATAGCCAGATTTACAACTGGTCGTTTAAAAATAGCCCAATTTCAAAAGTAATCGAAATTTAGCTAGTTTTCATGTAAAGATAAATATGAGCGAAAACACTGTTCAAAACCCGAAAAATACACCAGTATATTATACTGGAGTTCCAGCATAAGTATGATTGAACTCCAGCATATTATACTGGAGTTCCAGGATAAGTATGCTGGAACTCTAACATAATATGATGGAATTTCAGCATAAGTACACTAGAACTCCAGCATAATATACTGGAGTTCCAGCAAATATAATTGTC